GCTGCAAAAGAAAGCAGGGCTAGAATGGACCACTAACATAATCTGATTTGGTTTCCCACATAAGAAGTTAGGAATTTCACATAGTAATTCCGGCAGCAAAAGCTCTTTTTTTTTGGTCAAAGATCCTAATTTGCAGTTGCAAATCAATTACAAGATGCTAACACAGCTTGTTTAGAGTTGGAATTGAGGTCTTCATTGGCTCTGATAGAGCTGCTATCTTGGCAAATCCCCTGGCTCCTTCTATCCCCACTGAGAAAGAACCAACTAACTGAATCCCATCAACAGGACATTAAGCACAAGAAATGCAAAAAAAAAAACCAACTCATTAAATCCAATACATTGTTAAAATACTATCAACTTAATGAAAGTAGGCACTAGAGACAGAGAAATCAGCAACCTGAAGGCACATGGCATTGGAATACAGCTCCCCAAGGCAGAGAAAAGCAGAAAGAAATCCAGTACCTCCCTACTCTGTCTGCTCCCGAAGGATCGGACTGCAAAGAGCCCAGGCACAAAAGCCGCTTCTCCCAAATTCACTAAATCTGCTGCCTATGGAGTTACCCCATAGTCACAGATAGTACCAGGTTCATCTCTGCTCTTGATCTGTAGTAATTCTGGAGCACTCAGAGCAGGCAACCTCTCTCCTGCCAGGAGAGCTCAGGAGGAGAAACAGGATAATCTGAATGCCCTCAGGGACAAGCCTCCCAAAGGTCCAGCTCAAGGAAGAGTTGTACAGAAAGAGCCAGAGTCACCACTCACCACCTTCCATGTAAGTCCCTGGTTCCAGAAGGAGGAACCTTCTTCCAAGCTGAAAAGAGTGCCCCCAATTGGGGCTCCAAAGGCAGCCGCAACCCCTGCAGCAGCTCCAGCAGATACAAAATCCCTTTTATCCCTGAAATGAAGAGGAAAATAATCTCAGTTTAGCAAAGTAGAGCTCTGGAGATGCTCATGTTCCGCAAAGTAAGAGACCATTCCCATTTACAGATATACCCCAAAGATACAGGAGTGACAGCTGGGAGAAGTGCTGGCCACGGCAGGCAACACTATTTATTCAGTAAGTCATTGCAGCATCATGCTTTTTCTCTAGAGCACCAATACAGAGCAAAACTCTGGCACTACACAACCGCCCAGTATATGAGGAACCCTCCCAAACCATGGGGCTCCAACACCACTTGAAAGAACTGCAGAGAGGGAAGGGCAAGATTTTGCTCACATTCAGGTGAACCAGCCTTCTCTACAGTATATCTTGGTCATAAGGGGTGAATAATGGAGCTTGTTCTCAGCAATGAAGCCATTTAACCATCGAGAGTAAAGGTTTTACATGGGCAGAGATTTGTTGAGTAGTACAAGAGAACATCAATGAACACTGAGACCAGAGCAGAGCAGCAGGGAAGAGTCAAGTCCTGGTGTTTTCTTGCTGTAGAATGAAACTGCAGGACACTAGAGAGAAAATGAAAACCCAACTGACTAATTCACCCCAGCCTACCACCCTTCTCCCAAAGAAATCTGCTCACTCATCCTCCTCTCCCCTCCTCCACACCCTGGGTACAGTACCTGTCACTGCGGAAATATGGAAAGTTAAATTGGATCTTCCTCAAAGAGATGCTCTGGAACTAAAAACAAAGTAAAGATTTAGAAACATGGGAGATGGAAACTTACTCCTCACGGTACTCTTACAAAGCAGTGGTGTGATCGGGCCAGTGACCCAGGCCAGCACTAACCTGTGGCAAACCCGCACCCACGACAGCACCACTGTGAATCATTGGACCCTCCTTCCCGACAAAAAGACCTGGAAAAACAGGACTGATGAGGCAACACACTCCTCCACCTCTCTCCCTTGCTGACAGTGCCAGGAGACATCAGCTCACCAGTCCCTCATCACGGCACAGTCCCATGTGCCAAGCCTGAAGCTCCTGCCTCCCCCCTCAAGGTGAAGGAAGGTGCTGACCCCTGCCACCTCAACCCCCCAAATGTTTGTGAGGCCTTCCAGAAACTTGGCACTCCAAGTGGGTGGAACCATTCACAGACAGCTGCTACAAGGACTCTGAACTCTCCAAGTTACTCTGCCCTGCTGCCTAGAACATAGCCTCCTTCAGGCTGCTCTAGACAATGTGTTCTGGAGAATTCTCAAGTCTCTCTCTTGGACTGAGCCACAAAGAGCCACTTCTGACTAGCCTACCCAGAAAAGTACCTGTTCCCCCAACAGCCCTGATCCTTCTGTCTATTTTCTGCTCTCTATATGCATTCAGAGCTCATCACTCAGCTTCAGCCCATCAAAATAATTTTACCAGAAAGGCAGGAGAAGCCTTTTGTGCCCTACATACAGCAGGGAGAGCATTTTTCCCATCAGTGATTTCTTACCCCAACCAGATCAAGACACCACAGCCCTTCTTACCTCCTGCCACACTGAAGAGCACTCCCATAGCTTTGCACACCACTGTCCGGAGACGCACAACCCCTGGAACCTTCACCCCATTGAGGTAGCACTTAATTTCAGGAATTCCTGATCCAGCTGCTACAGGCTGCAGAAGAGAAATATTAATGCTGTGCTGCACCAATTTCATAGCTGACCAACAATATCTCATCACAGAGCACAGCAAACGATCAAGAGATCCTGCTTAGCTAAATTAATTAGCTCTGTGTAGCTAGTTTGATGTCTTGGGGCAGAAAGTGCTTCTGACAAGAAGGAAACTTCTTGCCCAGGACCTGTGTGAGAGCAATGGGAAGCTGTGTAAGGAGCAGCAGTGGACGTAAGCCTTACTTGGATCAGGACCAGAAGACTGGCAAGAAAAACAAAGGTCAGGTTGAACCCCAGCAGCTCCAGCAAGGACAGGGCAAGACAGCCTTTCTCAGTGCATTCTTCCACCGCTGCAGGGACAGTCAAGGAAAACAACAACATTCCCCCCTCAGCACACAATCATTCGGTACTGTCTGGAGGTCCCTCTGGCATCAGGAGCCAAGCCTGCAGTTCCTCATCCAGCCAGGGCAGCTGACACAACCCATCAGGAAGCCAGGCTTCCTCTTCAGAGCTCAAGACTGTGCTACAAGGAAGGGAAATCACCCATTCTTTCAGGAATTAGCCCTTGCCTACAGACATGACACTGGAACCATTTCTTGGTTGCAAGGGCTGAATCACATAGGCAAGTTGAAAACTTGATTAATCATCCACAACTAAAGGCAGAAGTCTGAGAGTCAGCTGTTCTGAGGAAATCATGGTAACAGAAAGGAAGAGGTCACTTGGGTCTAACAGGGACCCATACACTAGGTAAAAGATACAGCTTTGTACCACCTGGAACTTGAGCTGGGTAAAGAGCCGTACAAAGAAATCCACAAAAAGGCCCACCTATGAGAAAGAAGACAGATCTGCCATCAGAAATTACTATGTGCAAGCAACAAAGACTGCTCTCTACTAAGTCCTACCAGAAGTATGCACACATGGGAGGACAGAGGATGAAGAAGGCAAAAGGAGTGTTGTTCAGAGTAAAGTAACTTCAAAAAATCAGATTTGCTGCCTCCCTCATTCTCACTGGGACAGATTTGTCTTAAAATTATTCTTGAAGAGATGCATTTCAGAGTACTAATCTGGTAGCACTTTTAACACCCACAACATACTTCAGAGTACAGAGGAATGCTGGTGTTTAACTGAGGCACAAAATCAGCAAAGCTAATTTCAAACACTCTAGAAAACACATGCAGTGAAGCTAATACTGCCAAACATTTAATAAATGCAATTCAACTGCTCACTTCAAGCGCTCACTTTGGACAAATTTTCCTGTACGCAGAATTAAAGGATTTGCCAGAATACTTTGCAAAGAAAGCACAGCAAGATCTGAAAGAAAAAAAGGCTTCCTGGAAAACACTCTAGCAACAATGTGCTATAATTCCCAAAAGACAACTCCAGCTACTAACCCTCCACTTCATGAGAGAGAATGTTTCCTCCTCTTTACTCCTCAGCCATTGACTTCTAAACTATTCTTGCTTAGTCTCCTGAATTTTCCTCATTCCCCAAACAGCATGATCCTTACCAGTCCTGTGCAGACTCCAATAGCAAAAACCAACACCCATTTCACTGCTTCATATCTCTGGGCTTTCTGTTTAGAAAGAGAATGAAAAAACAACAACAACAACAACAAAAAAAAACCAACAAAAAAAACCCAAGTCAAAACAACACAGAAATGGAGATCAGGAAAAGGCAGTTTGGGGCTCCACAGCTCAATTACAGCTGGAGTGATAAATCAGCAGAAGATGGTGACAATAGCAAACTGAAAATAGGGAACTGAAAGTGCTGAACATCTTGCTCACTTTAAACCTGAGCATCAGAACAGATGCTGGGAGCTATAATCTCCACATATACTTTTATTCTTTTCATAGAGAAACCAAGAGAACACATAGAATTTCTTACATAAAGAAGAAAATAAACCCACTAAACTTCCCACAGTGGAGAGTATTTAGAATCATAGAATGGTTTGGGTTGAAAGTGACCTTAAAGATAATTTAGTTCCAACCCCCTGCCATGGACAGGGACACCTTCCACCAGACCAGGTTGCTCAAAGTCCCATCCAACCTGGCCCTGAACACCTCCAGGGATGGGGCATCCACAGCTTCTCTGGGCAAATTTCTCTGGGCAACTTACATCGTTTCAGCTCTCAGGCTAATGAAAAAGAAAGAACAAGGTCCTACCTTGTTGTCCATGCTCTCCAAAACTTCCAAGTACGGGTCATTGATACAGCGATCATAATCCAAGCTCTGAAAGAATGCCAAAAGGTCAATTTAAGAGGACAAGCTGCAGAAGATTGTGCAAGAAACTACGAATAGAAGACCTTGTTAAAGATTACAGAAGTCATTACTACCCCCACTGTAGGTTCTGCAAATAACAGTAAGAAAAAAAAAAAATCCTGGGAACAACTTCATTTAAGTGCTTCCAGCAGAGCCAGACGCCAAGAGTCAGGAAGTAAAAGAACTGACCACTTTCACTGCCCAAGCTGAGAGAGACAGGGAACCAAACAGGAACACAACTGATTAACACAACTTTAATTTAAAGAAGTCACACTGCACAGATTCAGACTTGACGTCTTTAAGTGTCTCCAATTTGACAGCACAGGGGATAATGTTAGATATTCAACTTTCACTACAACAGGAACACTATTTAGGAATTCCTCTCCAGATGAACACCATCAATTTTTAAGCTTATCACAGTAGGGAGTTAAAAACAATACAGAGTTGCCCAGTCGTACTCACAAAGTGCCACTAGCTTCTACCTACATCAACTTCACCTTTCCAAGCCAAGCAGTAACAGGCTGAGCTGGAGACATCCATGTTGACAGCAACTGCTCTAAATAACTCAGGACCACCATATAGACATGCAAAAAGCAAAAATCTCCTGTAAAAAGCAGCATCCGAGAGATGGAAGATCTGCTATAAGCCAGCATGACATCAGAGATAGCAGTAATGCAACAGTAACCAAGTAGCTACTGATGCTTTCTACAGTCACGAGGAAACAAAACCACTAGAGCTTCTAAACCTCCCATTAAAAAAGTGGAACAAATTTTCTTAACAAGAGAATGACTTAAGCAGCAGACATTGAAGCTCTGCTCAGAGGGCTTTAACCCAGAAACGCATAACGATGGGGACAGTTCTTTGCAAAGGCAACAACTCTTGGTATTTCTGCTGGTGCCAATGCAATCTAACTAGTGATGCATTTTGAGCACCTGCCCCATTACAAATTCAAACAAGTGGAAACCTGTCTGGAGTTCTTTTCACATTAATTTCAAAAGCTGCTATGAGTCAATGTCCCACCTCATAGTCCTTGCGTGGAAGGATCTCATCCTCCTCTTCATGAGTTTCTCCTAGGATTGTCTGCAAAACAAACACAGGAAAGGAAAATTATCAGGGGAATTAATATACGTACAGGTGCTCATGAGCACTAGTAGCAAAACCAAAACTAGGGAAGGCCTATGCCGCTACTGCTTATAAAGTCAGAGTAGGGGTTACCAGATCACCACCTACTTTGGAGTAACTGTATGGGGTCTTACCTTAAAGCTCGTCCCTCAGCAAGAACACAGTCCATTAGTTCTATACAGGAGCTGCCCACAGCAAAGCAGAATACTGAACCCCCATCCCAGCCTCCTTCACAGCAACAGGCTGCAGGGACGCACGGGGCAAGAAACTTGCACAGACAGCACTCCCCTATGCCAGGCAACTGGGGAGAGCCCCTGCCAGAGCCACTCCCCTCTCACGGCTGCAAGAGGTGCTGTACCCGGGAGAAGCTGCAGCACAGGCTGAGGCACCGGCCACAGGGGCTGGGGTACCAGGAACAGACAGAGCAAATGCTGTCCGGGGCACCGGGACAGGGCGGGCCGAGGCACTGCCAATAGCGCTGAGGTACCGGGCACAACGCGGGGCAAAAGAGCGGGAACGGGCCCGGGGGGGGCCGAGGCACTGCCAATAGCGCTGAGGTACCGGGCACAACGCGGGGCAAAAGAGCGGGAACGGGCCCGGAGGAACCGCCTGAGGGACCGCTCCCT